GGCCAGGCTCAGCCACTGGCCGGTGGGTGCTGGAGAAGGGTCACGTGCACGGGGAGTCGGGTCTCTTGGCCTGCTGTACCGTACATCGCCTTGGCCGTGTGTGTGTGTGTGTGTGTGAGCACTCATGCCTATGTTTGGGTGTTTGTATTGCATGTGACAGGGGGCTGTGGGTGGGAGAGGGAGGGGGGATGCGTGCCGGTGTTTGGGTGAGTGTGTTGCATGTGACAGGGGGCTGTGCGTGGGAGAGGGAGGGGTGTGTGTGCGCGTGTGCGTGCCGGTGTTTGGGTGAGTGTGTTGCATGTGACAGGGGGCTGCGTGTGGAGGAGGGAGATGCGTGTGCACTTGCATGTGGAGCATGTTGCGTGTGACAGCCAGCACGGGGTGCAGGCCGGGGACTGACCCATGCTCACACTCCCTGACCCAGCCAGGGCTCTCTGAACTGTTCATGGGACAGACGATGTGCAACGCACAATTTCCACGCCAGCTTAGGCACGATGTGCTCCCGGAGAGACAATCCCGCTGCAGGGTTTGCATCTGCAAAGCTGGCTCCCCACACTGGCTGACGCCCCTTCTCCGCGGCAGGGCCAGGAGAACACCATGGGCTCCGCTTTCCAGGGGCGGACAGGAGATGGGTGCAGGGACTTGCTCAAGGCCCTGGAGCCAGTGTCTGAGCTGGGCCTGGGGCTGCCACAGCCTGGCCCAGACCCCACCTCTGCCACTCTGGGAGGGGTGGGGGCAGGTCACCGGAGCCAGCCGCCACCCGACGTGGAGCAGCGTGAGGGCTGGAGCTGCCCAGGCCCCGGGAAAGGGTCAGAGGGAGCTGAGGGGCTTCTCTATGGCTGACCTCTGTTTGTCCCATCCTCCCCTGAGCGCCTCTTTCAGGCCAGAGCCACAAGCACACCAAGGGCAGGACCTGGGCACTTTCTACAAGAATCTGGGTATAAACCCCGGTCAGAGCCTAACATGGGTCAGTCGATTCCCCACAACTCTCCCATAGCCCTGCCCGGAGCTTCAGCTGGACAAGGAATTCTTCTTCACCTCCTGTCCTACTCTGTGGTGCAGCGTTGCTGTGCACTGTTAAACAGCTGCTGTGCCCTGCCCCAGAGGTGGCTGCATGTCAGAGCTGGGTGCGTGAGTCTTGTGCAGTGTTGCTGTGCGCTGTTAAACAGCTGCTGTGCCCTGCCCCAGAGGTGGCTGCATGTCAGAGCTAGATGCATGAGTCTTGTGCAGCGTTACTGTGCGCTGTTAAACGGCTGCTGTGCCCTGCCCCAGAGGCGCTGGCCTTTCAGTAGTGGGTGAGACCTGCAGAGGCAGCTGCCATGGCGCACCCCAGAAGAGGCTGGCTTTCGGTGATGAGAAGGGCTGGGAGCTGTCAGCTGGGAGCTGTGAGGCAGGCTGCCTCTGAACCCCCCACCCCATCTTTCCTGCCAGGAGAGCCATGGGGGTGCTGATGTCCCGGCGCCAGACGGTGGAGCAGGTGCAGAAGGTCAGCCTGGCTGTCTCCGCCTTCAAGGACGGGCTGCGGGAGCGGCCTTCCACCAAGCGCAAGGCGGATGCGTGGGGCGGGCGGCGGGGGACACTGGAGCACGTGGTGCAGGAGGTGCAGGAGGAGGAGGAGGAGAGACCGGAGGCTGCCGGCCCCTCGCAGACGCAGCGGGAGGAGAGCCGTGCCAACCGGGCGGCCTGGGAAAGACTGCGGGACGGACGGGGCGTGGAGCCGGAGGAGTTCAACCGTGCCAACCGCTTCACTCCACCGGCCTTCGTCCGGCCCACGCGCGAGCTGCACGACGACGAGCCGCTGGAGATCAGCCTGGAGCAACGGGAGCAGGTGAGTGCTGGGGAGGCACCGGGCATGGAGATGGGGCAGCTCAGGTGGACACTTAGAGGAACCGGCGTAACCTGCTCTCCCCGTCACTCCCCAGGCTGGGGCAGGCCGCAGCAGCCCGCGAGTGGGAAGGGGCAGGGGGCTCCCAGAGCTTGGGGCTGGCAGATGGACCCGCTGCTCCAGGGCGGGTCACATCCCCTCGTCCTGGGCGCCAGGGCCCAGCGGGTGACCAGGCCAAGGTGGGCGATGCCGCTGGTGCTGCTGAAAGCCCCTGGCTGCCCCTCGGCGTGGGGAGACCGTCTGGGGGCTGCAGGCCCCACGCCCAGGACACAAGTCACTGCAGAAATCACAGGCCATGGGGGGCTTGGCCCCCTCCTGCCTTAACCTTTGACCCTTGGCCACATGCCTGCAGTCTGGGTCAGCTTGGCAGCACACGTGGGGGTGGGGGGACCATAGGTCCAGCCTGTGCCCAGCCCTGTGGCCCGGGGGTGTTTGTGCTGCTCTGGAGGCCAGGCTCAGCCACTGGCCGGTGGGTGCTGGAGAAGGGTCACGTGCACGGGGAGTCGGGTCTCTTGGCCCCAGAAAGGCCTTTATGGTCCCTAGGAGAGGAGCCCAGGCGGCCGTGCCAGCCTGCCCAAGCCGAGCGGAGAGCCAGTGCCCCTCAGTCCTGACCCCCTGCTCTCCCCCAGTGCCCCTCAGTCCTGACCCCCTGCTCTCCCCCAGTGCCCCTCAGTCCTGACCCCTGTTCTCCCGGCCCTGGGCTCCGTCAGTGCACCTCAGTCCTGACCCCTGTTCTCCCGGCCCTGGGCTCCGCACTCAGTATGTCTAGCACCTGTCGGCCCTCAGCTCCAGCGCTCCCCGACTCGCCTCCCACGTGCTGGTCTGCTGATGCCCTCAAACTGACCGTGCAGCGCTCCCCACCGCTCCAGGGACCATACCCCTCAGTCCTGACCTGCAGCCCCCTGCTAGGTGCTAGGGACGCCATGGAGGGAGGGTGACCCCTGGGTGAGGGTGGGGGGTGGTCATTCCACAGCACTGGCAACCTCAGCTTGGGGACAGGGAGAAGGAGCTCCCCATCTATCCATTCTTCCTGTACACACCCCTCCCCTTACACACCCCTCCATCCCCTTACACACACCCTCTATCCTTCCATCCCTCCCCTTAGACACCCCTCCATCCTTCCCCTTACACACTGCTCCATCCATCCGACCATCCCCCAACACACCCATCCATCCATCCATCCCTCCCCTTACACACCCCTCCATCCATCCCTCCATCTATCCATTCCTCTACACACCCATCCATCCATCCATCCATCCATCCATCCATCCATCCATCCCCTACACACGCCTCCAGCCATCCCTCCATCCCCATCCATCCCCTACACACCCCTCCAGCCATCCCTCCATCTATCCATTCCTCTACACACCCCTCCATCCATCCCTCTATCCGTTCCATCCCTCCCTTAGACACCCCGTCCAT